AAGAGAAGATTCTGTATTGGTAAAACACATTACATTTTCTAGTCCGTAAGGGACGGGTAGGTATTGAAAATACCATTTTAAAATTGTATCCTTGAATATCCTTGAAATTTTTCAATTCTATTTTAGAAAAAATTATATGTTAAGGACTAAATTTATTATCTTAAAAAAATAACATAGATTAAAGGGACAAAAAAGTTATTTCATTTGGTACCCATACTTTTGTTTTACATTGCACTGAATTTTTTTTAATAAATTTTAAAATTAACCATATCTTTGAAATTATAACGAGCCCTGACTGCCAAAATAACGTAAGTGACATTTTTTTCAAAATTTTCTTTTTGATGCAGAAATGCATCTAGAAGCTCTAGGAATATTTCTGCACCAAAAAGAAACTTTTGAAAAAAATGTCGCTTACTATGTATATTTTGACGGTTGGGGCTCGATAAAGTCTTTTTAAAATCATGACGTCAGAGAAATGCCCATTTATACATATGCAGTTAATTATGCGTAATATGAAGTAGACTTTTATAAAAAAAAAATGTAAATTTTGGATAAACAAAAGGAATATAGACAAAACTGGTCGAATTAAGACGCTTCTTTTATTTCTGCCACTAGAGTTATGAACTTCTTTCAACCAGAAAATAAATGTTTTGCACATACACTAGTATTATTAAATGCATATAAATTTAATTACTGTCTGTCGTTTTGTTACTTATGAAATAATTTTCACTTTAAATAAAAAAGTACGTTCCAAACCCATTTACTTATTATTTATCATATGGTAGGAGAGCTGCTCAAACCATTTTGATGGAATTTTTTCATGTTAAATCATTGAAAAATAAGAAATATCTAAATGCCGGGACTGATCCCGTGATCCCGGGATTGAACCAACGACATCCCGAAAATCCCGGTATCGCAAAAATCGAAAAAACTACATCCCTAGTGTATACATTATACTGGTGCACAAGTCGACTTAAAGCTCAGTTAGTCTAGACTTAATTTCCGTACTTAACTTAACTTAATATTGTGGCCAACCTGTTATATGAGAAACTGTGTTGGCGGTTAGTTAAAACTTAACTTACCGTAAGAAACTTAAGCACTTGAAGATTTTAGGTTCTTAAGTTACGGCCTTACGGAAATTGAGAGTGGTGAGAGAATCACGCTTGCCAAACTCTCGTTTTTGTGGAGCGCGAACGCGGGCCGCCGCGACGCTGGGCACTTTCAAAATTGTATTCTTACAAATCCGTCCATTTAACTTGTTCATGTACTACTTTTTGTCAAATGTAACTGGGTGACTAAGTACATATGTGCACTATTTTGCTTTATTACTCAATTGTTAAGTTGAAAAGTTGGTCTTATTGCTCAACGAGAAATGAAATAAAGCAAATTTGTGTTATTTCATATTCAATTGGGAAATAACACAAATTTGCGTTATTGCTGTTTGTGTTATTTCACCCACCCACCTCCCCCCTCCCCTTTGGAAATGTACTTAAAAATGCATGTACATACATATGTATCAACTTGTCTTAATATACGGTAATAAAGAGCCACTTGCAGAGCACTGCCATTAAATTAATGTGATTTAATTTAAAGTATATACTTTGGCGCCAAAAAAAAAACATGTGCTGGTGGGCGTGTATGAGAATTGGACGAACGCAAGCAGCTGAAAAATACATAAAATAAAAAATAAATATGTAAACAAATCCGTGCATACATGTACAACATGTGGCCAAGATTTCACTACTCAGCGATTAAATATCTAATTATGTTCTTTTCACTTTCTGAATACAAGTCAACACTTCGGAACCCATCCGGAATGCAATAGATGCCTCTTGGAAAAATGAATTTGATTACAAATAATTTTTGTGATATTTATTGTCCCTTAGACAATCTCGGGTTTGGAATTTCAGTGGTCGTGCGATGAGTCCACCTGAAGTCCCACGGAGTTTAAGTTAAAAATTAGTAGATACGTTATTCTAGTGCTATAGGGTGTATACTAGGATGCTTCTTAAAATATCAACCTCAGTGGGCACCCATTTTCTGCTACACACAAAATAAAGATATCCACGACAATTTCAGAATTAAACAAAATATGAGGTTTGCTATCAAGGTTTGAATATATTTTTTTCAATTCGAAAAATAACTCAAGTTTCAATAATATGTCAAATGTATCTGACTCCATGTAAAAATTTCGTTGATATTGTAAGGACGACCCTAGAGCATATCAGAAATATGTAAGTAAGCAGGGACTTAAATTTTAAGAAAACGTCATAGATACCTTTCTTTAAAGTGCTGTATCTTGGAAACCTTTTAACGAAACTTAATGATACAACATTTATTTCTTCCGTCTTATTATGGGCTTTAATTGTACATTTTTTACATTAATGTGCAACGTATAAAAAACAATAAAAAATTAAGTAAACATTTTTCTTTTTGACTATAGCAATTTTAAACATTTTTATTTTTACATAAAAACATTGCTAAAATGTCAACTTTAAGTACCCAAATGGGCGTAATGGGCTACTTACGCGTATGGACTCTAGATCGTCTAACGCTCAAGCAATATGATAAATAGACATTGAAATATTATGAAATTGTATATTTTTGAAAGAGGAAAGGTTTGCATAAAAGGACTAACTTGAACCTATCATTGGAGGTCTAATATTCTTTTGCAATGAAACCGAAACATCAACAACACTCATTGCAAAAGAATATTAGACCTGCAATGATAGCTACAAGGTTAGTCCTTTTATTTAAACAAAAAAAGGAAAGGTGTGTAAAAAATAAACCTAATTAGTAATAAAATTATAGTTTAAAAAAATAACAAGAACACGCTTTTATTACAATAAGAACTAAAAGAAAAAATTTTTTTATTGATTTAAAGATTCGTTAAATAAGGATATGAAGTTCCCTAACTTGATGTTATTTAACCTTTTAAACTAGCTTAAAATAGGATTAAATTAATTGGCACGTAGTCATAGTCGAAATAAAGTCCAATGAAAGGTTAGTTGCAGTTATTTTTTACAGGCATCCCATTGGAAACATACAGCACCCCATTGGTAGAGGGCTTCGGGTGTACGAATTTGTTGTAACATCAGAAGTTGAAGACTTTCTCTAGCTGCTAGTCTCTTAACATTTCCTCCAATCACGTCGTAAGCAGATTTCCCATGTGAACTTGCAACAAAGTTCAATTCTGCCATTTCCTTGAAGGAATTTTCATGATTTCAGACCTTTAGTAAAGTTAATATCATTTATTCATATTGTTTTTGTTTTCTACACACCTTTCCTCTTTCAAGAATATACAATTTCATTCAATTTCAATGTCTTTTTATCATATTGCTCGAGCGTTAGACGATCTAGAGTCCAAATGTATAAGTAGCCCATTACGTCCATTTGGATACTTAAAGTTGACATTATAGGCAATGTCTTTATGTAAAAATAAAAATGTTTAAAAATGCTATTATCAAAAAAAAATCAAAAAGAAAAATGTTTACTTAATTTTTTTTTTTTTGTTTTTTATAGGTTGCACATTAATGTAAAAAATGTAAAATTAAAGCCCATAATAAGACGGAAGAAATGCTTTTTTTCAGTTTCGTTAAAAGGTTTCCAAGATACAGTACTTTAAAGAAAGGTATGTATGACATTTTCTTAAAATTTAAGTTCCATGTAAATAGGCAACCCTACGTCATATCGGCAAAATATGCTGCACGTATATTCATGTCACCTAGGCCTTAAATCTCTTCAACTTTCATCCAAATCCTGAGAGGTCGCGCACAGACATGAAATGCCTCATATGTAAATAGCATAGCTGCTGCATACACAAGCGGGAAGTGTACATTAGGGTGGTCCAAAAATGCATGTGAAAATGTAAAGTCGGAATTTTAATGCTCTCACCCCTAGGATTGTTTTAATATATCGCGAAAAACCCCTATTTTTTTATCAAAAATTATTTAGAGGTCGCTCAAAGCGCTCAAAGTTGTCCTTGTTGTTAGGAACATGAAATTTTGCAATAGTTCCACTCATTATCAACAGAATACTTAAGCGATAAGTTTCGTAAGCTATTTTATAAATAATAATACAAAGTCTACTAAGAAAATCGTCAAAATCTATGCTGTATAAGCTTTATCTCTTATACCACTGATTGTTCAGATACCAGTTTTTGCGATGTATCTCAAATGCAGTAATCTGTTAAAATAAAATTTTCAGATGTTCATGAAAGGTATGAAGCCTTCGGCATAGCCGAAGACAGCGCTGCTCTTTCTTTTTTTTCCTGAAATCGCACAATTTTTCAGTATTCATTCTTCACATAGCTGACGCTCCCAGTTATCTTGTACTAAGCCAAAATGAATCGGACAAACTTGCGATTAACACCAAGCTCCCGCAGGTTGCTGAGAATTTCGCTTGTCATTATTTTAAATACAATTTTAACAGTTTTGTAATAAGATACACACTAGAGATGCATTATTATTTTTATTATTTAAAATTAATTTGAAAGACATGAATATTTTTGTCAACCTTTGATCGTTTGCAAACCACGCCTGAAATCTCAACCGATCGTTGCAATTTGTTTTCCGTTTGTAGCCTGCTTTAGGTTCGGGACTTAAAAATCGAATTTCGGGATGGGCGGCATCGGGATTAATAATATTTAGGCCCGTGTCCATATCTAATAGACACAGCAGAAATCCAATGTTACGTATACGCCTAGTAGAACAGATGAATGTGTAGAAACGGACCCAATAAAAATGAATAATCCTTGTTGATACCAGGCATTACGCGCATTTCTTTTTATTGTGGTTATTTGTTTAACATTTTTTATTATACTTATTATTTTAAATTAAATTGTATCGCTCTTTGCCATCCCTACCCAAAAAATATCAATTGAAATTTTAAGTACGTAATTTAAATTCCATTACCCTATTTTTTCGTTCAAACAATTTTCCAGTAATTAATACGAAATTGTTTCCCTAACTCTATTTTATGTTTGTGTATTCTCTTTGCAGTTAAAATCGAAAAGTCTAACACATTTAGATGGCCTGGATTCGATGGTTGCAAGTCCGCATAGTATTCCCGCTGGCAAAGCGACGAATGTAGTAAGTTCCTCTTACAACTATGTATATTGCAAAAAAAAAAAGCACAAGCACATGTATGTACATACCTCCACACATAGCTATGCATGTTTATGTATATATTTATTACTTTTTTTTACATAAAGCATTTACGTTGCACTTACCGTTGAGTATGAAGATTCCTCCTTAGATTTTTATGTGTATTTACATATTTAGGTACATAGTATATATTTAGCAATAGCTTCAACACTTAAGTAAACATTGAATGCAAAACAGGTTCGTCTGTTGCAAATAGTAAAGTAATTTAATTAGTGTTACTTTTATAGATTCCATGTAGTTTTTGGTCAGTACTTGTATGTAAAGCTTTGAATGCATGAGACTTCAGATTAGGGATGTTAATTTTTCGGCTTTTTTCGATCCCGGGATTTTCGGGATGGCGTTGTCACGGACTAATCCCGGGATTTAGATATTCATGACTTTTCAACAACTTGAATCGAGAAAATTGCTTCTATATTGTTTGAGAAGCTCCCCTACCATGAAATAAATAATAGATAAATGGGTTTGAAACTTACATTTTTATTTGAAGTGGCGTTTTTATTTTTTCTCTCTGACCACAGGATTTCTTTTGAGGAGCTTTGTAATTTCAAAGATATGATTAATTCCAAAAATTATTAAAAAATTCAATGCAATGTAGAATAAAAATATGGGTAACAAATGCAATAGGAAATTTCTTTAGAATTAAAAAAATTTTAATTTTTTGGATTCACAAGGACGAATAGGTAATTTTTAAGCTGACAAAGTTAGAAGAACGAAATTCGAGGATGTTATCGAGTTTATATAAAACCAAATATTACGAAATTTCAAGGATAAACTTCTTCTCTAAGCACATTTCTCTGAATTTTTTAAATCATTTTTGAGTTACTGACGTCAGAGTGAAAAACTAAAAACGCAATTTTACTATATTTGGACCATAGTTTCGCGAATATATGGATATTTGTGTTTAAAATCTACTAACGCTCGGTGTTATGTATATGTATAATGAGCAAGACATTTATAAAAAAAATATTAATTATTAAATAAAAAAAGAAAATAGTCAATACTGGTCAAGAAAAGGAGTTTCTATTATTGCCATCAGTGCAAATTATAAATCCCGAAAATCCCGGTATCCCGGAATCCTACTTCCGATGTTATTGAGAAGCCGCTAAGTTACTTTTGCCAATCAGATAAGCCATCATTTGCCGCTTCAATACATTTATTTTCTTTTGCAGTTGATTTAGTAACTAAAGATAATTAATCTATGTCACGAAAAGACACCAATATCAATGCATGCACGGATACCTGTATGTGCATTAGGGTGGTCCAAATATTTAATGCTAAGCCCTAAGATTTTTCTAAAATGAATAAAAATCCCGTATTTTTTGTTGTTCGTTAATATTGCAAAATGGTAAAATAAGCAATTCGGTATTAGTATTGAAAATCTCCTAAAGAGAAACCGAGTTTTCCGATCGAAAAATATTGTTTTTTAAGAATTATATACTATTTCTACGAATAAGTGTTTTTGCCCATATAAAATACATGGAAAACTTCATGGGCTTTGAGACAGTCCTTAATATGTATCATTTTTTTAACAAAAAAAACAATACGGCTATTTTTTTCCATTTAGATTCCTAGGGGTGATATCTTTTTCCCCCCGCATGTATTTTTGGACCACCCTAATGTACATATATATATATATATATATATATAGTGCAGAGTTGCGGATAGTTTTTCGAACCCAAAATATCCAATGCCCTTGTATAGAGCGTCATCATTTGAAATCGGCTTGACCATTTCGACTAATTCTTTTCTTGTTGTGATCGTGATAAATAATACAAGGTTTAAAGTAAAATAGATAAGTTAGTGAAGAAAAATATGTCTCACTAGGCCGAAGAAATTTCATTTCGCCTTCTACCTTTGGTAGATGAAGTTGAACGACTAACCGATGCTTTTAAATACAAGTAACCCGTCATTTAAGCACAAGAGGTGTGAAGTGACTTATCACAATTATATAAGTAGTAGGGCTAATATTTTGAAATTCACCACTAAACATCAACAGTGGCATTGAAAATGTTTGCACTATCACTAGCTATTAGTATAAATTGAAAATTTAGTGCACTAGCGCATACTATCGTATAGTGTTCCTATGCGTATTTCAATAAAAAGGTGCTATTAGGTTACATTTCTTTAATTCAGGATAATATTTGGGTCATTTTGATGTTCGAAAAACTTAAATTATATGTATGTATGTTTTTCTTCTTCTTCTTTGGCTCGGTAACCGGCTGAGCGATTTTGGCCGAGCCCAACAAATCTCGCCAGTCGATTCTCTTCTGTGCCAACTGACGCCTATTGGAAATGCCAAGTGAAGCCAAGTCCTTCTCCACTTGGTCTTTCCATCGCAGTGGGGTATTCCCTCTTCCTCTTCTCCCACCAGCGGGTTCCGGGTTGAATACATTCGGAGCTGTATGTATGTATATTTGTTTTTATGTTTATAACTCTTACTGGAAAGTCAAGATAGCTATGTTTTAGGAAAATATGTATTTAAATATTGTTATGCCAATTGAAAACTTCTTTTTCAAGTCATTTTTACCATATACTACCATATAGTAGCACAGTATAGTAGCTACTTGAGTATTGCTTGTAACTAGACATAGTAAGTGTGAACATGATTTTTTGTTTTTTGTAAATCTCATTCTTTTACAAAGATTTGAGAAAAAACATTTATTAATTTTCTTAAGATACCGCAAACTTTATATAGTCTTTGAATGTAATGTATTCTATATTCTATAAACTGTAAAATTTAGCTTTTAATGCTTGGCAAGCATAACATAATCATACTAGTTTACATTCATGTACTTAAATCCACACTTTAGTATTTTGTTTCTCTTTTTCCCCCTTCTATTCTATCAACACACACGCATTTGTTAGACGCACCTAATTAAATCGAAAACGCAGTCGCATGCGGCAACCCTGTCCCAATCGATCGCAATTTTATCACTCTCCCAACCTTCACCGCTCTCTATACTGTATGAAACACTACAAAATAATTCACACCCAACTCACTACAACAATTCCCGCACATTTTTGTCCAACATATCAACTATAATCATTACCACAACCAACAATCACAAAAACCATCATTTGCCAAAACGAAATTTAAAAAAAAATCTCAATATGTATGCAGAACAAAGTTCTATGCAGCATTCTCCGCCCGGTTTATGTTCTCAGATGTCGCCAGAGTGTGTAAGCTAAGATAAGAAAACAATAATCATAAACACAGACTCATGCATCAGCATATTCCCCTTCTCCACAATCCCCGAAATGCACCCCTGAGTTAGCACACCGAACACTCCCTCCTGTTGTAGCTGCAAAATTAGTTCTTTGAGAAGCAGCGTCAGACTCGTAGACGGCCGTAAATACAACAACTCATACCTCAATGCAATCACATAAATTTCAGAGCGGCACTGAAGTTAACCCCACCGTCGACAATTTAAAAACTAGTACTCATAAACAGCATCAGACAAGTCTATTTGGGCCAGCGTTATTAAGTTCGTCTTCAACGCCAGCGTCTGGTGTGGCAACAGTCTCTGCTCATGGAGTAGCTGCTTCAGTGGCGAGTGCAACTCCTTCTGCTGGTTTGACGACAACAACGTCAACGATGCCAGTGCCTGCGGCGAGTCATAAGAAAAAAACGGTATTCTTACAGCGCAAAAAGCCACTGCTAACACGCAGTGAGGTGAGTTGGGTGTTGTGTCAATGTGGTGAATAGATATAGTAGAGCAAACATGCCTGGCAAAGCTTTTTTATTTGCATAATTATTATGTTGCTATTTGATTTTCTAATTTAATAAATATCGGCCGATTTTCTGATATAGATTGAACCTGTAACCGAGGGAAGTCATCTGAAATGCAAAGAGCCATATCAAACATCGTCGCTGAAATGAAAAAAGTCGTAACTAATAAAAAGTTAAAAATCCACTACTTGATCGATAAGATGCATTTCATCGAATAACAACTCCCCACATCGTTTTATGCCAAAAAAAAAGGGATTATTCACGACTTTTTGGTATTTCAGTGACGATTTTATTACGGCTTTTTGCATTTCAGATGACGATGTGTAAGTTAAGTAAAGCACATTTTCTTACTAAATAACGTAGTGATAGTTAAAAAATCTCAAAAACGTGATATACATATTTACATACATACATATTGGTGTACTAAACACTTTTAATGAGCTTAGATTTATTTAAAAACAAATATTTGCTGGTACATACGCATGCATTTTCATGTAGTGCCAACAACAAACAAATTTCACACAATGAAAAACAAGGATCAGCAGCTAACTCTAATTAACTCAATGCGCTTCGATTTCATTTACATAAGTTTTCACTTACTTTCTAGCTTTTACTCGCCACCTTCTGTTGCCATGAGTCAATATTTCACTGCAAATCGCCTTCACATAGTATGTAACGGACAACGCTTTAACTAAACTAATGCCTGGCAATCAACCAACTGATTCTTCATTCGTCTCGTCTCTCCCTAGCAAATTTTTGCACAAGTTCCGCCATAGCATTGCCATTTTGTTTGTCAAGAAAAATGGACTCGCAAATCTGCTCTTTCGCACTTTTATTTCTCTTTACTATTTGTTTTCGAAGTCATGAAAGAGTAAAACTTCTGTGAAGCGAAATTCATTGCATTGAAAAAGGTGAGAAGCCTTTTTTTCCGCACATTTGAGATGGTTTTGATGTACATATGTAAATGAAAATGATAGATACCCAATGATTAGAGTTGTATGGATAGCAGATGTAAAAGTTAATTAACGGTGATTTCTCGTTACCAGTTACCTGTGTCGCTTTTGCGACGGTGCCAAGGAGACTCCTTTACACCTTCTTATGGAGTGTGAGGCCGTTACACGCAGGAGGAATAGGAGCATAGGGCACCTGTGGCCAAGAGAGAAGCACATACAGGCTGATTTCCAAAACGTCAATT